GATAAATATGTTTTAAACGTCCTTTAAACATTAGATTAAAACTTTAAGCTGTTATTAGAACTTGTGGGTTTCCTGCTAGCCGGGTTCTGTGATGCAGCATCAGCTCTACAGATGCATGTAAAATGTTCTTTATTGCCGTTTACATTTACAGCTGTGCCTGTGTGGCCATAAAACCATCCTGTACAATAAACTGTTGCCGTCGTTTGTAACAGGAAAAGCGAATTAATTTCACATTATAAAAGTGACGGCTGCAGCCCGATTAGTCACCGTGTGTCTCGGTGAGTGCGTCCGTCCGTACCGGGGGTCATGCCAACATGGGAGGGACCGGACCGTCAAGTGGACAGCTCTCGAGCCCGCCCGCCCACCGCGCGCCACTCCACACCGGGAGCAGCGCGTGAGGCTGATGCAGCCACAGATGGATGGATCCGCGAGGGAGGACAGGAGCGGCGCACAACTGGAGTAACGAGGAGGCGTTCGGTGAGTACAACTGAGAGCACGAATATAGAGCCGAGAGGAGGAGGAAGAGGAGGCGCGGGACGGGGAAACATCCCGCTGAAGGCTGCTCCAGTTCTGCCCGCACCGATGTCCGAGGCCCGTCCGGTGCCTGAGACCGAGACAGAGCGCACAGGAGCGGCTGCAGGAGTGGAGAGCTCCGGGGGAACCGCTGGAGCTGTTCTCTGGCGCTGAGAGTGAGTTAAATTTAAACTTCGCCGCGGCGCTTGACATCATTTTTTATTTTCGGCTCTGCTCCGCTCGGCTCTCCGTGTGTTTATCTTTGTTTTCGTACTGCGACATTAGTCCACCGCTGCCAATTAGTCACCGGACGCGCGCGCACACACACCGAAACTGACAGCTCGTGCGTCAGAAAAGCGGATTCCTCGCGCGTGGCAGAAACCCGGCAGATGTTGCCGCGCGCAGGCTTCAAACATCAGCATCAGGCGTCAAATGAATTATTCAAAGTTACGGCACAGATGTATGGAAAACAAAGTTACAGCGACGAACCAACCAGCTGGCAGGGAACGTTCCCGCAACATTCGATAATGCCACCTGCGAGTTCTTGTCATTTCTTTTTTCAATCAAATGTTCAAAAGACTATTTTAGGATTTTTTTTTAAATTTTAATTTTATTTATTTATAGTAATGTTTATATAAAGTTATTATAGTGTTTTGATGTCAACACTTAGAGAAGGAACCTTCTCATACCAGTATTCAAAAAATGTTTCCCAGACGTTCTGCAGACCTCAAATGGTTTTTAAATTTTTTTTTTTGAAAAAATGTTAAGAGAACACATTAGAAAAAAAACTTGCCTCTGTAAGATATTCTCACACTGTTCCATAACAACAAAGGAAGAACATTCTCAATGAAACATTCATTAAATGTTTTCCAAACGTTCTCGAGACCCCAGACGATTTTTAAAAAATAAAAACATTCCTGTGATGTGACATGTTAAAAGGCGGCTGCAGTGTTCTGAATGCATTTTGGTGATGTTGTTGAAGGAACACATTATAGAACGTTCGTTTGTAAAACTGTTCTCACAATGTTGCACGATAGCAAAGGAAGAACGTTCTCAAACCAAATTTCAAAATGTGTTTTCCAGATGTTTTCAAGGCCTCGGATGACGTAATGTTTTCTGTCTAGAACGTATTATAACATTACTGTAATGTGATGAATTTAAATAGGACCTTTTGCCTCTTGATGACGGAACAGATTACAGAACATTCTTCTGTACATTTCCACAACGTACCTCAATGCAACATTCTAAAAACATTTTCTAAATGACCTCAGATGACAGAACGTTCTTTATAAAAGGTTCCTGTAACAAAGGTGAAACATTTTGGCTGCAATGTTCTGAGGATGTTTTGGGAGAACACATTATAGAATCTATGAAACGCTCCCACAATGTTTCACAATGTTACACGATAACAAAAGAAGAACGTTCTCAGTGCAGCATTCAGTTTCGAGAACAGTCAAACAACGTCACCACCAAATGTTTTTAGAATGTTCTTAGTTTTCTACCTTTAAGAAGAGCATCCTGGCAAGAAAACTTCCCATCAGCATAACTTTGCAGAACTTTCTTGGAACGTTCTTTGAAACCAAACAACTCTAGCTGCGATGTTGGTGTGACAAGCCCAGACAGAACTAAACTGAAACAGCTGACCCAAATAGCGTTCCCTTAGAATATGTTTTTGGTATGGTTGAAGCACACATGAGCCTACTTTCAGCTATAAATCTGCAGTTAGGGTTTATATCTATCTATCCTTATGTAATAGGCAACAGTTTGCCCACAAACGTAGTTCTATGAAACATATCTACTCCCTCTGTGCAATTAAGGCCCAACGTAGAAGACTCACAGGTGTTGCCATATGTGCTATTTTTTTCAAACACATTGATCTCTGCATGCAAATTTCCCAACACAACTCACTGACATGCATTATTAAACACCAATGTGTGCTTTATTTCCTTTTTTTAAATTTTTTTTTTATTCCCACCCCCCCTCTCTTGTCAGTTTTCCCAGTGACAGCTCCAGCAGTCCAAGTGCGCCATTCTTAAGCCTAATCTACTGGTTAATAGCTTTCGTTTTCATTGCTCAGTGTTCATATTTTGTGCAGCTTTTCCACTGGCTTTGAAAAGCTAATCTGCCCCTGATATAAGCGCATTGGTTGGCTTGCCATCTGGGCTGTATTATAGTAGAGAGGAGAGGGCATTTGAATAATTGATATTTAGCTATTTATAGGAGGATTATTCTCTTCATGTTGCAGCGGGGGGAACTTTGGTCGTATCCGTCCATCTATGTGTCCGTCTATCTGTCATTTGTGATGGTGGCAAGTGACGACTGAGCCGCTCGCTTGGTCTAAAATGCAGAATACTGTGCGTTTTCTGTATTTTTTTTGTCTACCTGCTGCACCCCTGCCAGTCTGTCCTTACATCTGTCCATTTATCATCCGTCCGTCTTTCTGCTCACTGAGCTGTAGTGTATCCATCTGAAGTGGATTAGGGGTGTTATCAAAGCTAAGTAGGACTACTGTTCACACACACACATGCATACATGCTGCTCTCACTCCATTTCACTCCACAAGGACCATTGACCATTGTTAGCCCTCTCTCAAGCCTCTTTCGCTTTTGTGTGCAAGTGTACGTGTGTGTGTGTGTGTGTGTGCGCGCATGTGTGTGTTTGACGGTAAACACTCTGATCAAACAGCGCTTAACAAGCTGCCTGAACTGATAACAGAGAGAGAGGAGGAAGAGAGGATGAGAGAGGAAGGAAAAAGGGGCGTCGGGAGCGAGAGGAGGTTACAGAAAAAAGGAAAAAAAAAAAAAAAACGAGGAATGGGCATGTGTGGTTTTGATCATGATCAAATGGGGAGATTTATAAGCCTGATATTCACTGTCCTCCACTTTACAAGCTTTTCCAGGTATTGTAGGGAGGCTGTGTAGAATAGCATACCGAGAGTTGTCTGCGTGCAAAAGTTTCCAGAAAGAATTCCAGCAAAAAAAAAAAAAACATTTAGTGATTTCTCCCACGCTTTTGTTTTCCATGCCACCGTCCTCCATTTTGTCCTGTGTTTTTAATGACGTTTCTTAGACGGTACACATTCGAGAGCAACAGGAAAAGACGGCACGAAGAGAGGAGGACGATACGTGACAAAGATCATGAGCCAGATGTTAACCCAAATGCACCAGCAGCACTCGGCCTGACCCCCCTGACCTGTTTCCTCCTATCATATGCTAAAGAGAAAATCAACCCGAGCGAAAAAATGTTAGGAGCCATTTGAGAGTTCGTCTTGTCTGTGCTTTAGCTCCACGTACTCTCTCCAACACCGTCACTGTAAACGCTTGTATTTTTGCAGCTCTATGCAAGGACACGTTGCGGCTCATTCTTGTTGCTATCGAAGTGGAAGTGGCTGCATCCTGTGATAGACCAGTGACCTGTTTTGCTGTCCAGGTAAGCGGAAGTCATGTTGTAGCCACATCACGATGGGCATCTGTTCGCTGTCAGCCATGTGTAGTCCTGAGGGCCACGTAGAGGCTGCGTTAGGTGTAAAAACTAGGAGTGGAAACAGCAATCTATCCGCAACAATCCAATATGCAAAGAAAACATCTGCTTATAGTGTCATCTGTAGGGTAGCAGATAAAGAAATGTGCACTTAACATAAACAAGGGTCCATTTCTTTCCTTTTTATTAACCTTTAACACTCACTGGAACGAATGCAGAAGAGTGCATGCACATTACAACTATAGTTTCTTGCCTCTTCTGTCATTTATAGGGGAACGCAGACTAGTTTAACCACGAGCATTTACCAGACAAAATGCTTCCAAGCTTTGAGTCTTTTTTCTGTAATAAAACAATGAATGTTAAGGGATTAAATGTCTGGAAGAGCTAAGAAATCAAACTTTGGTTGTGTTGTTTTGAGTTGATGTGGATGCTACTGATCGCCGGAAATGGGCTTTTGATTTCGTCCAGTGTTGAAGCCAGGTCTCTTGATTGAAGTGAAGAAATATCCTATCCCTGCAGACATTAAGATATTATGTATGCCATTATTGTGAAATATTGTGTAGTTGTTTAAAGAAACGACATGAAATTTGAGGTTTGCACCCTCCAGTTAAAACCAGCTGCAGCACCCAGTTCACTCAAATCACAGAAGAGACGCATTTTCATTTCATTTTTTAATTTCAGATTTTGAGGTATTCATTTTTGGGATGGATGGGATTGAGGCGAATGGAATTTCATTGAAAATGGCATTGAAAAAAAAATTAAAAGCATCCTCTCTCAGATTCCTGTTTTGCTTAATAATTCACACAAAACACTATCAGCCGTTTGAACAAGGCCTGTTTCTTCTGCATAGAGTGGTCCCAGTAAAAAAAAAAAAACACAGATTTTAATGTGATTTTTCAGAGCTTTGACTACAACAAATATTGGTTGAAACTAAAGTGTAGGACATTTAAACCAAGTGACAAACTGTCTGCAACAACAATCACTGTTCTTTCTGTTTCTTCACAGCGATGGATTCCCCCACGGATCTTTTCGATGATTCTGCTTCTCAGATTCATTCTTTCGCTCCTGCTCTCAACTCCTCAGATCTCCCCGGAGTTCATCCTCAGGCCGGTCGCCCTCCTCCGGCCTTTAGACCCCCCGGCTTCCCCCTCATCCACCACCTCCTGCAGCCGGGCGGAGGCCACAGGAGGATCGGAGGGCTGCTCAACACAACCCTGAGCTCGCACAGACACCTGGAAGATAGGAATCTGGACGAAGACGAAGGAGAGAGGGATGAACAGGTGGAGCAAGGGATGGACGGAGGAGTGGAGGGAGTGATGGAGGGAGAGGAGAACCTGCTGGGGGTGAAGAAGAGGCACAGCGATGCCGCTCTCACGGCAGAGTGGAGTCAAGATGTCCTGAAAGTGAAGAGGATGAAGCTGGAGGGCCGACAGAGGGATGGAGAGGCGGAGGAGGGAGGCAAGAGGCGTGAGGGAGGGAGGGCTGGGAGGAGGAGAGAGAGGGAAGAGCTGAAGGAGCAGCTGGAGGAGGCCAGAGAGAGACTGCAGGCGCTGCAGGAGAAAGTGTGGAGGGCGTTCGGGGAGAAGCACATGGCCGACGAGGAGAAGAAGAGGAAGCGCGGCAACAGAAACAGCGGCGGAGGTGATGGAGATGTGGGGATGCTGGAGGAGGAGGACATCGCAGAAGGGATGTACGATGAGGAGGACATCGATGGTGGAGAGATGGAAAAGGAGTCTTTCTCTCTTCTCTCCGCTTCGCCGTTCGACAACTTCCACAAACGCAAAGAAGAAAAAGACAGAGAGGGGAGGGTGGAGAGAGGAAGAGGAGGTGGAGGAGGAGGAGGAGGAGGGCTGCATCTGGAGGGCCTGATGGAGGGATCAGGGTTGTGGTTGGACTGCGGGGGGCTGGTGAGGGGAGACTGGGATGGAGGGATGGAAGACGAGGGCGAGGAAGGAGGGCAGAAGTTTGCTCAGGCGCTGAAGCTGGAGCTGGGCAGCGCCGTGGCCCGAGTCATCGACCGAGTCCTCCGCCTCTACACCGAGATGACAGACTTCACTCCTTCCTCCCCGCCGGCCGCCATCTCCTTCCTCCCGTCCGATGCGGGAAACGACGGGGGGAAGGAGAGGGGAGTGTGGATGGGGCTGCTGACGAGAGGAAGGCGGGAGGAAACGGCGAAAGGGAAGGAGGACAAAACCGGAGGGCAGGACGGGGAGCGAGAGAAGCACCTCCAGAAGATGAGCAACGGGAGCTCGCTGCCTCCTGGACCGCCTCATCGCGCCGAGCCGCCCGATCTGGGAATGCCATTGGCCGTGCAGAGGTCACCTGACACTCGAAAGGCCTACCCCCTCCTCGGCCCCCCTCTCTCGGCTCACCTCAATCCCTCTCACCCAAACCTCACCCTGCATCACCCCTCCTTGCCTCGCCCTCCTCCTCTCTCCCACCCTCCCCTCCTACCTCCAGCTTCACAACCCAAGGACCCCTCCTCCACGTCCTTCCACCCATCTTCATCCTCCTCCTCTTCCTCCTCCTCTTCCTTCCCCGCTCCTCCCCCTCCGCCTCCCCCGCCACCGCCTCTCCCTCTCCCGTTGCTGCACTATTCAATGCAGCAGCTCTTCTCTCGTTCGCTCCACCACCCTCAGCTCCCCCACCTCCCGCCGTCCCGCAAGGACTATTTGAACTCCGACCCTTTCCTGGAGTTCTCGTCTCACCCCTCGTCTCACCCGTCCTTCCCCCCGCTCCCCCTGCTCGGTCACCTGGACCCGTCGCTTGTTCGCCACGGAGGCCGAGAGAGGGAGAGAGGGATGAGGGGAGACGGGGGCATGAGAGGAGGCGGAGGGATGGACGGGGGAGAGCTCTACCTGACAGCTGGGGGGATATCCTTTTGTCAGCATGTTGGGAGGGATGGGGGAGAGAGGTGTCTGTTTACAGTGACTATAAAAAGTACTCACCCCCCTTGGAAGTTTTCCCCTTTCATTGCTCTTAAATACTGAGTCATGGTCAATGCAATTAGGCTTTTAAACGAAACAAAAAAAAATAGAATAAAAAGACTTGCAGGCCAAAGTGAAAACAGGTTTCTCCAAAATAGTGTCAATTAATTGAAAATATTAGGCATAAAATAAGCGATTGCTTTAGTGTTCACCCCCTTCAAATTTTAGTTTTGAGTCCCTTGCACATCTGGAGACTGTAAATTTACCCCATTCTTTAGCAAAACTGCTCAACTTCTGTCAGGTCGTATAGGAATCGTGTGAACAGTTCTCACTCGACCACTACACAACATTCACCTTGTTGTCTTTGAGCTATTGCTGTGTAGCTTTGGCTGTCTGCTTCAGCTCGTTGTCTAGCTGGAAAACAAATCTTCTGTTAAGTTCAAGTTGCCCTCCAGTATTCATTTTACCCTCTACCTTTAAAAGCCAAGAAGCATCATGATGCTGCCGCCACCATGCTTCATATCATGATGCTGCCGCCACATGCTTCATATCATGATGCTGCCACCATGCTTCATATCATGATGCTGCCGCCAACATGCTTCTCTGTGGGGATGGCGTGTGTGATGACGTGTCCACTAAATATAGCATCTAGTCTAATAGACAAAAAGCTCAACTTTGGTGTCATCAGACCAAAGAACTTTCTTCCATTTAATGTCAGAGTCTTCCACATGCCTTCTGGTGGCCTGTGTTCAAGATTTAATTGGCGCTTTTGTCAACAGTGTCTTTCTCTGTATCACTCTCCCATAAAGCTTGTAAAGCTGGTAAAGAACAGGCAACAGTCCGATTTCAGCTGCTGAAGTTTGTACCTCTTGGTGGCCTCCCTCACTTGTCTATTTCTAGCATGGTCGCTCAGTTTTCAAGGATAATAATTCATTGTTGAAAGCAGAAAAATGGGGAAACTTCCAATGGGGGTGAATACTTTCTGTAAGTACTTTGTGTGTATGTTTAAAGGAACATGTGTATCTCCTTAACTGGCCTCATGTGTACACCCAAGAGGGTTTGTCTCCCTGCCATCTGAAGAAGGCCAAGCTCATGTTCTTCTACACGAGATACCCCAGCTCCAACACTCTGAAGACGTACTTCCCTGATGTCAAGGTGTGTGTACCCCATCACAGTGCAGCAAGATTTTATCCACTATTGAGCTAGATAAATAAATCATTTGTTTGTTTTTTTTTAACTCAAACTTCATTTTAAGGAGAGTCAACTTGAACTTTCCATTTGTTTTTACAACTTAAGTGCTTGCTTTACCCAAACGTAAAAGGTAAAACGTGATTTTGTCACACGTGTTTACTCCTGCTCAATAAAATGTTAGTTGAGTTGCAGCAGAAAAAATTGAAGATCCTTGAACGCATAATGTCACTGAAATTACAATACCAATTTAAAGAGACACGTGAAGAGTCAAGTTGATAGAATCCACAAAAGTAAACTATAAATGAACAAAGCAGAGATATAAATGAGATTTATTCTAAACAGTCCTTTACTTCAACTCAAATGCTTCATTCAGAATTCAAGGCAAAACTTAATCATCCTCCAGTTTTTTACTTAATTGGATCATCATTTGTTATCAACAAGACCCAAAACCACCTCCAGGATCTGGAAGGACGATCTGACCAAGAAGCAGAGCGATGGAGAGCTGCATCAGATAACTTGGCCTCCACAATGACCCGACCTGAACCCAGCTGAAATGTTTAGTGATGCAACACAGAGTGAAGGAAAAACAGCCAACAAGTGCTCAGCATATGTGGGAACTCCTTCAAAAAGTATTCTGACTAGTTCATGAAGCTCGTTGAGAAGATGAGTGTGCAAAGTGGTTAATAAAGCAAAAGGTGGCGACTTTACCGAATCTGAAATTAAATTCATAGTCTCTCTCTCTCTTTTTTTTTTAGATCTTTCTTTTCTACACCTTTTTTAAGTAAAAAATAAATAAAGAAAACCCATTAATCAGTAGATCCCCCAAAAAACAAAGCAAAAATCCCGTAAGTGAAAAAGTTTTATTCAAAATATAACTTAAATGAAGATA